TGCGCGGGATGGAGGGAGGGAGCGAGGCGCTGTGTGTGCGCGCTGGGATGGTCCTGCTTTGCGGCCGGGCAGTGTGAGGCCTCACCCAAGGTCAGGTCCCGGCCGTCCCGACTGCTGCGGAAGTTGGCGGCCCCACCCCTCTGGGAGCCGGGCTGCAGCGCCTGCCTTCCCCGAGCCTGCAGGCCAGGGGCAGCGACTGCAGGTCGCCCAGGAGTGGGCGTGTTCTCCCGTCGGAGAGAGAGACTCAGGCTAGAGAAATGATAGGAATTTTTTTCCCTGTGCTGGCTTTGTTCAGTTTTTATTGTGACCTTGCTGCGTCTTATTTCATATTCTGGTCGTTTCATGGGTGAAAAAAAAAAAACAGTTCAAAGAGGTGAGGACTTAGGTTTAATTCAGGCCGCCCCCACCCAGAAGCCCTCCCATGAGTGCTGTGCAGCCCGTCAGTCCCCTCTGCCTGCGGCCACTTGGGATGCTCCTTGGACTCCTGGTCACCTCTGTGCTTGGTACCGCGGTCCTCCAGCACGTGCTCCACCCACCTGGTACTTCCTTACTTCCTCCTAGCAGGCTGCCTTGTTAGGCAAATGGAACAAGAAACTTGGTCCTGGGCCTCCATGCTTGGTCTCTGCTATTTCTGCCGGCAGGGATGTCAGCCTAACCCTGAAACAGAAGAGACTGAAAAAGCTGTGAGATTCAGGTCAGGTTTGGAATGTAAGTACCAAGGTTAACCTTTCAGTGAGGGGGGGCTGCCACACTGTAAGATGCTGGCCATCCGTGGTAATGGGTGAACTCCTCTGCTGTCTTTGAAACATGTCTGTAAGTCTAAAAATCGTAATAAAAAGTAAAATGTCAAAGTCTGAGGAAATGAAAATCTAAACACCTCGAGTTCACTTCCCTGCACTAGGCCTCTGCAGTCGCAACAAATGCAAGTGGATATTTCTTGTGTGTGCAGTGCCAGGAGGCACAGGCTTGGCCCTGCCACTGACCTGAGGGTGAGGCTAGGGCAGTCTTCAGTGGCAGAGTAGTGACCCAGAACTCAGGGCACTTGTCAGCCATGAAGGTCAGGGTTCTGCAGGGCATCACAGGCACACACCACATGAAACACAGTATGCTGGCCAACTGTGATTCTGACCCTCCCCCTTTGGGGAGCACTCTGCCCAGCCCACAAGTGCCCCAAGATGTTCCCTTGATTCGTAGTGACCCCATGTGTCAGTGTGTCAGACCTTAGGTAGACTAGACAGGACTGCCCGCCAGTGGCTTGGCCTGCTCTCAAGGATATACTCTTCCGCAGCCGGGTGTGGTGGCTGGAACCTTGATACCACCACTCCAGCAGCAGAGGCAGGCAGATCTGTGTGAGTTCAGGGCTAGCCTGGTCTACACAGTGAATTCTAAGACAGGCAAGGCTACACAGAGAGACCCTGTCTCAGGAAAGAGAGAGAATGGTTCTCCCCCAAGGGCCTTGCTCCTTCGGCTCCACAAAGTAGCTCTGTAGCCCAGGTGTCGTCCTTGTGACTGTATGTTGTGGTAAGTGGTCCCAGGAGAATGGACTGAGAACCCCCCCCAGCAGGGTTTGCCTCCTCCCCAGAGCCCAGCACACCCTAAAGCTGACCCCACCCTCTCCTCCCGAAGTTCTTTTTTTTTTCTTTTCTTTTCTTTTTTTTTTTTTTTTTTTGTTTTTCGAGACAGGGTTTCTCTGTGGCTTTGGAGGCTGTCCTGGAACTAGCTCTTGTAGACCAGGCTGGTCTCGAACTCACAGAGATCCGCCTGCCTCTGCCTCCCGAGTGCTGGGATTAAAGGCGTGCGCCACCGACGCCCGGCCTCCTGCAGTTCTCTCTGGCTGACCACATTTGTCTGAACCTGCTTCAGGCTCGGCAGCAGGCTGGTCCCCACAGTGAGGTCTGCCTAGCTGTGACCCCACTCCAGGGCACTGAGGCTCTTGTGTGGAGTTCAGCCTCCAGCCCCACCCTCGATTGCTGTGCCTCTGAGTACTGCTTGGCTTCCACCTCTGCACCTAAGGTAACTGACTGCCCCCACCCCTAGGCCCAGCGACCTGAGGCTTCCGGTTATAACCGCTGAGTAGCTCAGAAGCCCCGTCCTTGATGTAGCTGGACCGCTGTATGCATGGGGGGGAAGCCTGGGGGGTAGAGGCAGAGGGAGGGTTTCCCAGCTCGGGAGGAGGAGGCAAAAGTGGGCAGGGCCTGGACAACCAAGAAAATGGGGCAGATTCAGTTTCAGCTCCCACCCTGACCTCACACTGCAGGGAGGGACAGGAATCCCATTCTCCATTCTCCCCAGGGTCCCTGTTCCCAGTTCATCAGCTGTAGTGAGGCCAGATAGGCTGAGAGGGC